ATATTTAAAAATAAGATATATTTATTTTTTGATGATGTTACCAAAATAGAATAAGTTGTTGATAAGAATACAATTAGTTTTAAGTAATTGCTAGATGACTTTTCAGAAAAAGTGTTCTAATTCATAGTACCATTAACAGTTTTTAAGTGTGCTTGTTTTTCTTACACCACCACCAACCAGCATTTGGTTTAATGGTTTTATTCATATTTGTTAATTTACTGGATATGATGTAGTACCTCAAAGTTTATTTTTATTTTTTAAATATATTTTTATTGATTTTAGAGAGAGAGGAAGGGAGAGAGGGAGAGAGATAGAAACATCAATGAACATCTGCTGCCTCCTGTACACCCCCTAAAGGGGAGCGGGCCCACAACCCATGCATGTGCCCTGACCCGGAATTGAACTGGTGTTCCCTTGGTGCATGGGTTGATACTCTAACCACTGAGCACCAGTTGGGCTCAAAGTTTATTTTTAAAATTTTTTTGCAGGACTAACAATTCTTCCAAGCATGTTAATATTTGGATTTCCTTTGTTTGTAATCTTTGATCACCTAGTAAGTCCTACAAATCAAAAAATTGTATCAGTCATTATTAACTGGGACATTAACAACTCTCAAAGTTGTTTTCAGTTATTAATCAATTCTCAAAATCCTTTTCAGGTGCTTATTAACGAATAAATTTGTTATATGTTACAGTTTGTGGGGAAAAGTGGAAAGGGAATTTTAAAAAGGCTTAAAGTAGCTTTAAATAGGTGATGAAATTAAGAAATTGAAATGTTAAGCATTAATCAAATGACAGAACTATAAATCTTATATATCTGCTTTTCAAAAAAGGTGATATTTTTAATCAGTGGATCTCATTTTTATTATATATTAGTATAGCTGAATTTTAGATTACTCAACTTATGTAAATGTATTTTTATTCACCCCAGTGAATACTATTTCAAGTACCTTGTATATGTATGACTGTGAAATACAGAAGAAAAAACAGATGTGTGTTTGAGAGAAACTTTTGGGAAGATTCCAGTGGAGGCAACAATTCATTTTAGATACCAGCTAACAAATGTTTATAATAATTCAGAGGAAGTAAGAACTTTGTTATGTGGGAGTGGTGTGTATATCGGAAATTAAGTAAAAATGATAGTGCAAGAGACAAAATTTTAAATCAGACTTCCCTGTCACTCTAGACTGCTAAGCACGATATATTTGCATTTCATACACAATGCTGAATATGAACAGATTTTCAGTACAAGATTGATAATTTATTGGTTGTTACTGTTAGTTTATAGTGAATCTGATTTGACTATAGGAATAGTAGATCTCATAGTTTCTTTATTTTAAAAGAATGTAAATAGTATTAAAAATTCTCCAGATACCATTTCCCCATTCCATTTCATCATTTCTCAGTTTTTCTCATTTCTGCACTGTTTTTTACTTTTATACTTTCCCCAACCCCATCTTTTTAATTCTTTTTCTTACCATATCTCTCTGTTCAAGTTTCTTCCTTTTGTATTTTACTCTTTTGTCTTATTTTTGGTCATCCTTTTTTTTTTTTTTTTTTTAACCTGTTAATTGACCCACTCTCTCTTTAACCAATTTAACTTCTTCCATTTACCTGTTAATTTTCTTTGTCCATCAAAGCCCCATGTTCACTAATTAACACAAAGGTCTCCCCAGGAAATTGCTTCCTTCTCTTCATTCTTCAGTTGAAGTATAGTATAGTAGAACTCCAAATCAAATGAGAGTTGAGTTATAAATTGATGCATTTCATCTTAGGCAAGATGTTTAACTTATATGCCTCAATTTCTTCCGTTATAAAAAGAATTGAAACTAAATCTCCATGTATCCTTCTAGTTCTAAAATCCTATGATTCTGTGGTGTCTTAACTTTCTTATTTTTCCTCCTGTGCTGACCTTATTTAATAAATATTTTCACACCTACCATGTGTTTTTAACTGCTATAATTTATGTGACGGAATCAAAAGAAACAAAAGACAGAGTTCCTGCCTTTCAATTATTTATAGTCAGCCTGGAGAGACAAGAGGTAACTATCTGTATGTTAACACTCAGATAATTCTATTTTGTTCTGGATCAGTCCAGACCAGATCCATATTCTCAAGGGAAAACCAGATACACTAGTTCCAACCTAATTTTCCATGAGTGGCAGGGTTTCCCTGAACACAGTAAAAGACTCCTTTTTATGTTCTTATACATCTAGGAATCCCCATTGTAGTTTTCTGTAGCATTATTTTATGTTGTTCACTTGATCTAGTCTAGAATTTAACAATAATAGAAAAATTTATCTCAGAACTAAGGAGATTGATTTTCATTGTGATTATTTATTTTTAAATTAAATTTACTGGAGTCACAATGGTAAATATGAACATGTAAGTTTCAGGTGTGGGTTTCTATGTTACAAGATCTATATATTGCTCTGTGTGCCCACTATCCAAAGTCATATCTTCTCCCATCACTGTATATTAAGACACCCTTTATGCCCCACCTCCTTCCCTCTGGCAACCACCACACTGCTGTTCGTATCTACAAGTTTCAATATTATATCCCACATATGAATGAAGTCATATGGTTCTTAGCTTTTTCTGACTGATTTATTTCACTTAGCATAATATTCTTAAGGTCCATCCATGTTGTTGCAAATGGCAGCATTTCATCCTTTCTTATGGCTGAGTAGTGTTCCATTGCATACATGCACCACATCTTCTTTATCCAGTCCTCTATCACAGGACACTTTGGTTGTCTCCATGTCTTGATCACCGTGAATAATGCTGCAATGAATATAGGGGTGGATATATCTTTGCAAATAAATGTTTTCGAGTTTTTTGGTGTATATACCCAGGAAAAGGATTGCTGGGTCATATGGTAGCTCCTTTCTTAATTTTTTGAGGAACGCCAGACTGCTTTTCATAGTGGTTGTACCAGTCTACATTCCCAACAGCAGTGAATGAGGGTTCCATTTTCTCCACAACTTCTCTAACACTGGTTATTGCTTGTCTTATTGGTAATAGCTTCATTGTGATTTAGTAGATGTTCACTCTCTGTCCTTATCTTTTGTGTGCATACATATTTCTGTGCATTTATATGTTTGCATAATCATGTTCAAATATAATGTTCCAGATGGCTGAGTAAATATGACTAACAAGTCTTTCCACACCACATATACTTTTTTCTTTGGTTTGTTTCTGTACCTATTTTGTAGAGTGGTGTCCTAGTTTTTAAAAGATATATCCATCCTGACCAGTTTTAGCAGTACAAAATGTAACAGGATTGTATTTAACCTTATTTCTCATTCATTCTTTTTACCCTCCATTCCATTCCAAGACATTTTATCAAATCTTGACTCGATTTAGGCCCTTTCCACCATTCTTTCTTTCTTTTCACAGACAAACCAAGTTAGGTAAATCTGGTGCCTTTGATGCTGCTGTTTCCTTGTCATTAGTAGGTAGTCCATATTGGTTAAAGCTGTGGTTTCTTCTACTTGTGATTACTGCATTTCAACTTGCTTTCCTGCAAAAGTTTTTGACTCTCACTAAAACTCCTGCCTGTGCATGTCTTCAGCATTATGTAACTAACCCACAGTGATTTGGTACAGTACAGTTGGATTGGTTATACTCTAAGACTTTGTCAGTGGCATCGTCTTTCCATTTGGTATTTAAAATTACTCATTACTACAACTTACTAAATTACTCAACTTTAAGAAAATATGTTCATAGCATATTGAATCCCATAATACAACAACATCTATTATCTTGGATGTAAGACCTGGGTTCCTTGATGAGATCTTAACCATATTAAGGATTTGATATAACTAATTCAATTTTTTTAAAAAAATGTATCTTTGATTTCAAAGAGAGGAAGGGAGAGGGAGAGAGATAGAAACCTCAATGATGGGAGAGTCATTGATCAGCTGCCTCCTGCATGCTGATTCAGTTTTAATACAAGTATTTAAAGAATTTGTAATAAAGGGAAATTACTTTTGGGTATTCTTTGAAACTGCTTATGTATATGAAAGTTACTTGAGTTAATGTTTAAATTGTCTTATATTATATTTTTCCTGTAGGAATGAGATACTGTATATAATGCCCAGAAGTGGTATGCTTTTTTTTCTCACACTCACTGTTTCTGTATATTTACTTATTTATGTCATTATTCGTTTCTCCTCCC